CGCCATGGCCCCGCCGCCCGCCGCGCTGCTCCTGCCGGCCCTGGCCGCGCTCCTGGCCGCGCCCGCCGCCGCCCGCCCCGCGCCGCGATCCATCGGTAACGAGGGGAGCGGGGCAATGGCACGGGGTGGGGAGGGGGGCGCCCGGCCCGGGTACCGGCAGCAGCACCGGGCCACCTCCTGCCTGCCTGCCCCGCCGGGGCCGGGAGAGAGGGTTCTGCACCCCTGCGCGGCGGGCGCGGGGCGCGCTGCCCTGCATCCCTGTCCCCGCTGCATCCCTGTCCCCGCTGCATCCCTGTCCCCGCCGCATCCCAGCGCATCCCAGCGGCATCCCCGCCCTCGCAGGCGGTGCTGGTCCCTTCCCCCCGCGGCCAGAGAGCACGGCCGGGGGCAGCGGTGGGTCCCCCGGGGCCCTGCTGACCCGGCCCCCTCGCCGCTCTCTGCCCGCAGCCGTGGTGGGCGCTGGGCTGGGGGGCTCGGCCGCCGCTTACTTCCTGCAGCAGCACTTCGGGCCGCAGGTGCAGCTGGACGTGTACGAGGCGGCGGGCGTGGGCGGAAGGCTGGCCACCGTCACCGTCAACAAGCAGCAGTATGAGAGCCGGGGAGCCTCCATCCACGCCCTCAGCCTCCACATGCAGGACTTCGTCAAGATCCTGGGTGAGCATGGGCATCCCAGCACTTGCGTGGGCTCCCTTGCTGCGGGACCCCTGGGCTCTGCTTGGGGCAGTGGGGAGGGTTTCTGTCAGTCCCCCCCAACACCCCAGGCATGCGGTGATCCCCTGCTGTCCGTGCACCCCAGCCCTGTTGTGCCCTGAGGAGAAAGGGATTGGGTGGCCCAGCAGACTGTCAGGGTGAGGGGTCTGATGGAGTTAGTGTGGAGGGGGTTGTTCAAAAAATCCCACCAGTTTTTCCCAGTAGGCAGCAGTAACTCCATGGGACTCCCTAATGTACAGGATCCGGCTGGGGTCCCAATGCCCTGGGGTCTCACGCTCCCTGATGCTCCTCCAAGAGCATCTTTACCCATATCCCTGCTGTGGAGGTGTTGGGCACTGGCCTTTCCCAGCAGCCAGCCAACCCCAGGGAGCTGTGTGAGCCCAGTGGGGCCGGGGTCCCTCTGCTCCTGGCAGGCCTCAAGCACCGGCGTGAGGTGGCCGGGAAGAGTGCCATATTCAGCGGGGAGCACTTCGTCCTGGAGGAGACTGACTGGTACCTGCTCAACCTCTTCCGGCTCTGGTGGCACTATGGCATCAGTTTCCTGCGCCTGCAGATGTGGGTGGAGGAGGTGATGGAGAAGTTCATGAGGTAGGAGAGCCTGCAGGGCTGGGGAGGCACAGCGGATTTTTCCCAGCGCTGGCACATCATCGGTCGCCCTGTGCTCCTGTCCCCTCCAGGATTTACAAGTACCAGGCTCATGGCTACGCCTTCTCCAGCCTGGAGGAGCTGCTGCGCTCGCTGGGGGGTGATGCCTTCGTCAACATGACGCAGCGCTCGGTGGCCGAGTCCTTGCTGGAGGTGGGGGTCACACAGCGCTTCGTGGACGACGTCATCGCAGCCGTCCTACGCTCCAGCTACGGCCAGTCCGTGCTGGTGCCCGCCTTCGCAGGTGAAGCCAGGGACCCCTCTCCTCCCTGTGTGACTCTCCTCAGCACCCGCTCTGCAGGCAGGCTGTTGAGCCGCCCTCTTCTTCCTCTTCACAGGAGCCATGTCCCTGGCGGGAGCCCAGGGCAGCACCTGGGCGGTGGAAGGAGGGAATAAGCTGGTGTGTTCAGGTCTGCTGAAGGTGACCAAAGCCAACGTCATCCCAGCCAGGGTGACGGGCATCTCCCTGCACAGCTCGGGTGAGCCTGGGCACGGGCTCTGCTCTGGGTACTGCCAACTTGGGTGTGGGTCTGGGTGAGGGTCTGAGTTCACCAAGGTGGGAGGTTGGTGGTGGCAGCATGGAGATGCTGGGACTGCAGGGCATCGTGGTCCTGGTAAGGCATTTGGGCAAGGGTGAAGGAATCTGTCTGTCTCATCTCCTTGTCTGACCCAGTGAGGACCCTGTAGTGCAGAAATCAACCCTGAGGTTCCCCTCCCTCCCTCCCTCCGTCCCACATCATGTATGTCACAATCCTTGTTGCAGACTTGCTCCCCTATCGAGCACAAAAGAAGAGTGGGATAGCTGGGATCTGAGAGGTGGGCTGGCCTTCTCTGGAAACTTTCTCCCACAGTCTTGATCAAGTTTTTCTGCTGTCCTAAAGTGTCAGCAACTCATCCATAACCATCAGGTGCTATGGTCAAGCACTGGTGTATACTGGAAAACCAGTAGCATGGAGGCCGTGCTAGAAAAGAGAGGGCCAGGGCAATACCACTGAGGTCTCAGGGCCACTCCTAACTGCCCACTGTTCTTTTCAGAGGGGAGAGCCCTGTACCAGGTACACTACGAGACCAGCGAAGGCCAGGGCTCAGCTTTCTACGACATGGTAGTTGTGACGACGCCGCTGCATCCCAGCAGGAGCAACTTTACCTTTGAGAACTTTGAGCCACCCATTGCTGACTTCCCCGGAGCCTTCCAGCCCTCCGTCACCTCTGTGGTGCACGGCTACCTCAACTCCTCCTACTTTGGCTTCCCCGACCCCAAGCTCTTCCCTTTCACCAGCATCCTCACCACCGACACCCCCGACCTCTTCTTCAACGCCATGGATAACATCTGTCCCGTCAACATCTCGGCAGCGTTCCGGCGCAAGCAGCCCCAGGAGGCTGCGGTGTGGCGTGTCCTCTCCCAGCAACCACTGGACAAGCACCAGCTGAAGACCCTCTTCAGGTCTTACTACTCGGTGCAGGTGACAGAGTGGCAGACGTATCCCCGCTACGACGCCGCCAAGTCCCTCCCGCCCATCGTGCTCCATGAAAACCTCTTCTACCTCAGCGGTGTGGAGTGGGTGGCCAGCTCCATGGAGATGATAGCAGTGGCGGCCAAAAATGTGGCCCTGCTGGCTTATAACCGCTGGCATCAGGACCTGGAGAAAATCGACCAGAAGGACTTGATGCACAAGGTGAAGACGGAGCTGTGACGCCCGGAGGGCGGTGGACCAGGAGCTTCGGTGTGGGGCAGCCTGGGGAGTATTTATTGCCTTGGGGAGAGCAGGGATTTGGGGCTGGGGGATAAGGGACAGGCTGTGTCCCAGATGACTGGAATGTGCATCACCTTCAGGAATACAGTTCCTGCCCAGTGTTGCTGTGTCTGTGCCATGTGCCTCAGTTTCCCTGTTCCCCCTCCACAGGCTTTACTGGAGAGGAGCCTGTGCCTTCTCCTGTGAAAAAGGGTCACTGTGCATCTGTGTTTAGGAGGTATCTCAGGGGGCTTCCAGGGGAGAGGCTGGCTGGCATTGGCAGCAGATGGGGGGCTCCTATGAGCTGCCTAGCTCCCACTACAGTCCCTCCTGCCTTCCTGGCTTTGCCCCTGTGGAACTCAGTGGTAGGGCTGGCCCTGGCTGGGGCAGGAGGTCCCACAGCCTCTGCCTTGCCATGCGTGCATGGAGCTTAACCCTGCTCAGGGGCTTGGTGCCCTGGGAATGGGCTGCAGGGTGGGCTGTCTCAGGTCCTGACAGGTGCTCTCTGTTTCTGGGGGTGTTCAGGCTTCCCTGAGCTCTGGGGGAGGCAGAAGAGTCTCGGTGGGAGAAGCTGGGCACCCCGACCCTGGGCGGGCAGGGCAGAGGGGCAGCGTCAAGGGCCGAGACAGGGGCCAGCAATGCACTTTATTGAAGACCTCAGAAGTTGCCCAAACCACTGGCCACTCACCCTGGACTGCCTGGCTTGGGGCAGAGGAACTTTTGGGAGGACTGGGGAGAGCTGGGTGCTACCAGAACTGGTGCACCGATGGAAGGAACAAAGGCAAGTGGGGACTTTGGGAAGGGAGGAGGCCTCATCCTGCCCAGCCAGAGGGACCAGCAGGCAGCTGCATCCCTCTGTCCCCCAGCCCGTCCTGCTGAGCCCTGGAGGCTCAGTGGCTCAGGGCAGTGGATGTCTCGCTGCAAGGCCACGCGACTGCATAGCTGGGGGACTTGCAGGGGGTCCCTCTTCACTGGGTGTCCCCAAAGTGGCTGCTTGGGCTCAGGCTTATGGAGTCTGCAGGGGAATTTTGGGGAGCTCCTGGAGCTGCCATGGCTTTGCACAGGGGCTCCCCCACCCTGGTGCTCAGCCAGGTGACCCTCTCCCAGAGGACTGGGCAAGCTCAGGAAGCAAGAGCAAGCTGGTTAGATGCCTATGGGTAGCTGCAGGGGTTAGCTTTGCAACCTCAGAAGATGCAGGTGCAGCCCACGGCGATGGTCTCCATGACCATCTGGTACTTCTTGTGACACTTCTTCTTCCCAGAGGGCTTGTGCCCCACCTCTCCTGGCACCTGGCAGAGCAGCCGGCGGACAGGGAGCCGGCTGTAGATGGGAATGCTGGCCATGGTGCGGTCCTCCTGCATCGTGAAGGGGTTGATGCAGCCAGTGCAGAGGCATCGGGCCTCAGGGATGTCTGCTGGGATCCGTGTTGCATCATGGTTTATGCTGGAGGAAATGGAAAACTAGATGAGGTTGGAGAAACGGTGAGATGGGAGCAGTGGGTGGCTGGAGAGGGCAGTGCCTCCCCAGGGTGAAATGAGGTTCTGCATCACATCCTATTGCACCCTCCAGAAGCCACCACAGACTTGTGATGCTGGACCAGTGGCTGCTGCAGTGCTTTCTGGCACAGAAAGCATGCGTGTCCCCAGGGTCCCTGCCCCAAGCTCACCTGTAGGCCCAGGGGGACAGGCTCCTCCGGTTGGACCTCCAGAGCCTCAGGTTGACCTGGCACTTGGTGTCACCTGGCTCAGAGCTGTTCCTCAGCTGGCGCACCATGTCCTGGATGCTGTGCTCGTAGTCTGCCATGGTGGTGTAAGGGTCATCTGGGGCCCAGGTAAGGGCAGGGGTGGCTGTTGGGGGCCGTGCCAGGCCTCTTCTCCTGCCCTTCGCTGCCTTGCTTTGGTCCTTTGCCTCAGGCACCAGGACCATGGCAAAGGTGAAGATGCAGAGGAGAAGCTGAGGAAGAAGGAGGATGGTGTGTGGCTGCAGGACTGGCATGGAAGGGGAGCTCTCCCACTTCCCAGGGGTCAGCAGGTGATGGCAGGACTGCATTGACTTTGGGATAGCACGTGCAACCCCTAAAGGAGTGCTGGCCTGCAGGTGAAACCCATGGAAACATTGAGAGCAGTTTGCAGGGATGGTGAGCACAAGGTCATGATAACCCCAGCTGATGCATGTCACTGTGAAGACCCTCGCCCTGCAGCTGGCAATTTGTGTTGCCAGAAGTGTCCCTGTGCTGCCCAAGATGTGCCCAGTCCCTTCGCTGCCCACCCAGCAGCTGCATGCTGGGAGGGATGGGTACACCCTCAGCCCAGGCTGTACCTGGGCAGCCTTTAGTTTAAAAGGAGCTTTAGAGATGAGACAGTCAAGAATGGGATCTTTATCCAAACCTTCCTCTCCCTCCCTCTGTGCTCTGAGGACGGTGAGAGAGAAAAGATGCTTTTTCCTTCCCTTCTCCCTCTGGCTCGCGGGGCTGAGCTGCCGTGTGCTGACACCCGGCAGGCTGCCCAGCAGTGAACAAAGTTGCTTTCTGTAGTCCTGCTCCCTGCTATTTGTGTCCCTGCAGTCAGCTGAGGCAGCCCCACACCCTGCCCATGGGTGTGCAGTGCCCTGGGACAAGGACCACTTGGCCAGGGCTGTTTTCCCCCTCCGGTGCCGGACGGTCCGATCGGACTGTCCCAGCTTTGCTCTCCGAGGCTGTTGCATCTTCACCATGCCAGGCATGGGGGCGATGGCCCTGGCGGGCCGCAGCAGGCATCTCCAAAGCAAACAAACCCAGCTAGCCACCCGTAAACAACCATGCAAATAATTATATTAAGGAAGGAAAATGAGGAGCAAGCCCTGAACCACTGTGGAGTCACCTACCAGGTTTGGAGCCCGCTCCATGGCCGCGGAGGGGCTGCCGGCCGCTGTCCTGCAGTGTGGCTGGCACCAGAGAGCTGGGGAGCTAAAAAGGGAAAGCCCCAGCCCCTGGCTGTGCCCCGACAGAGGTGTGTCCGGTCCCCAAGGTGCCAGGGAGGCTCGGCGCCGGCAGGGCAAGGGGCCAGTGTGGTCTGGGACTTGGCCACCCTCCGCTGCTCTGGGCACTGGCTCCACGGTGGTGGTAGTGGCTGTGGTTGGTGGTGAGTCCCCCCTGGACCAGGCAGCCCGGAGGGGCTCCCTGGGCAATAACCTGCCCTGGGGAGGGGGTTTGGGCTCTGCCCTCCATGTGTCACCACCAGCAGCTCTGTCCTCAGGAACTCTTCTGCCCAGCAGTGAGGCGATAACACCCATCATTCTCTGCATCTCTGGTCTGTCTGTCCCCAAACCCTTCCCCTCCTGCTGTCCTCACACCCGTTCTCAACTCCTGCCCCTGCGAACGCAGCAGCTGTGCCCACAGCTGGCCGTGGGTCGGGTCCCCAGAGCTGCAGGGCAGTGGATGTTAGTGGTGGGTGATGCTCTGGCTTCTGGGGCCAAGCATCAGGGTGCAGGGTGCTGCGGGAGGAGAAAGTGAGACACAGGGGTGCCGGCTGTAATGCCCCGTCCCCAGGGACGGGGGAGAGGGGGCTGCCCTGGGCTGTCGCTGTCCCTGCGGTCAGGTACCACGCGATGGTGCTGTCCGCCACCCAACAGCATCTCAGTCTGCATCCCTCCTCCTCTCCATCCCTTCCTGCATTCCTTCGCTCCTCCATCCCGCCCTCCATCCCTCCCTGTATCCCGGTCTCCTCCCCTCCCAGCCCCAGCCGCAGGCGGGGGACCCGGCGCTGCAGGCAGCAGGCTCTGCCCTGCTCCTTTGGTGGCAGCACTGGGTGATGAGTTTCCCTCCTTCTCCCGACTCACTGCACATCCTCAGGGATTTGAAGGCCCTTGAGCTTTGTAGGGCAGTGGGAAATTTCCACCTCTTTTTCCCAATCCATGAACTGGGCCTCCAGAAAACTCTGCAAATGGGGTAAAAACCACAGTCCCTCTCCCCCTACCAGCTCCAGGAAACACAGCCCAGCTGCTCCCACCCACCCCAGCCCATGTTAACATCCCCAAGGACAGCCCCAGCACAGCATTTTGCAGGCTTTGCTGTCCCCTGGGGTGAAGTCTGATGCTGTGCACTGAGCACAGTGTCCCGTTTGTCACCTTGGGACCTGGCAGAGGGGACCTGGCTGTCGCAGGAGCCCTGCAACCACCTGCCTGTGCTTCACCAGGCATACAGCAGCGCCCAGCCCTCTGCCACCAGCCTTTTCTGGGGTGCTGAGCCAGCCCCTGCCAGCACCCAGCGACTTCACCCCCTATTCTGTGACCCCCAGAAGGGCTGGTGAAGCAGCCCCAGGCCAGGGGCGCCTGCATTTGCCGCGGCCGCCTGCGTTGTGTCAGCGCTCGGCAATGCTGTTTACACATGAGAGAGGCGCAGAGGCATCTGTGCCGGCAGCCAATTACCCAGTTTTGATCTTTTTTGGTGAAAAGGAAACCAGGGCTTTTCAGACATGGCCAAATTTGATAAGCTGGGGGAGGCAGGGGCGGGTGCGGGAGGCTTTTCCCCACCGGCCTCGCGCGAGGGAAGGGGTTGGGATGCGCGGGCGGCTGGGTCATGGCCAGCCTCTGCCTCCAGGCTGGGACAGGCTGGCTGGAACACTCTGTGGGCCCATGCTGGCTGCAATGCCATCCCTGTGGGAGCAGAATGTGCTGGGGTTGGATGGCTGGGAAGGGCTGGAAACCCCACAAGGCTTCCCTGGGAGGGGGAGAGATGTGCTTTTGGTTTTGTTGTAGATGCTCACCCCTCCTACCTCCCTACCACATTGCCTCACTGCTATGGGAAACTTAGGTGGAAAGCAGAGCCTGGAGAGTGGGAACAGGCCCCCCAAAATGGGGCAGGAGGGGTCATGAAGATAGGCTCTACCTACCCCAAGGAAACACAGGTGCTTGTTTGCCAGGGTAACCATCATGGAACCCACGGCTGTGCCCCAGCCCAGCTGGAGGTCCCGGGGTAGAGGGATGCAGGGCAGCTCTGTCCTGCCGTGCTCAGTGGGAGGGATGCACTGGGCAGGGAGCATGTTGCAGAGCACACAATGGGGGACCACAGGTAAGGGAAAGGGGAGAAATCAGACCACAGTTCCACACTGGCAGAAAATAGCTTTTTGCCTTTTTCCACAAGAAGGAATGCCCCTGCCTGGGCAGGAGCCTCTGGTGTGGGGTCTGTGGTCCCACAGTGGGCAGCATCACTGCTGGTGCCACTCTGCAGGGCATAGCAGCTTCTCCGGGTACCAGGCTGCTCCCAAGCCTGGCTCCTCATGGGGTTTGTGAGGCCCCAGCACAGCTGAGCACACACCCACACCTGGGCCAGACGGATGGGTCTGGCGGGAGGCTCCGGCACGGCCACGGCACATCCTATCTCCACGTGAGCAACATTTTCCACTCATCAAAGGAAAGCGTGTTCCAGCGAGCTGTCCTGGCCAGAGCCAGCCCCATGAGGAGGGCCAGAGCCGGGGGCCTCCTGCATCCCCCCGCTCCCCCCGGCAGGTAGAGCCGGCCCAGCACGGAGCTCACATCCATATTTGCACAACGGCCCACTCGGCGCGTGAGCAGCTCCGGAGATGCCCGAGCCAAAAAGGCTTATTTTAAGCTTGCTGGAAAAAGAACATTGTTTGGTGGGAATTAAAACTCCCTGTCCTCAAAAAAGGGAAAAAAACCAAAAAGTGCTTAATTCTGCCAGCTCCTGCCATCGCATAAACACAGAGACACGGCACTACTGGACAGGGTGGCCAGGAATTCATCATTCCTCTCCTCCCGGCAGCTGTTGTGAGACGAGGACCCATGCCCTTCTGTGTCCCCATGATGCCAGCACTCTTCCCAGAGACCTCATCCTGGCAGGAAGGGGTTTCCCATGGCAAGAAAGGGGCATTGCCCAATGCAGTGCTGAGGTGCTGCGGGCAGGAGGGTGACCGTGTTGGCAGCCCGGGGTCTCGCCATGCCAGGGCTCTGCATCAGTGGACAATATTATTTATATAGCCCTAATCCAGCTGTCCCGGCAGCCCTTCTGCCTCCCCGGGCGGGGAGCTGGGTGATGCTCTGGGCTGGCTGTAAATCACGCCCTCTGGATCACACTCCGGAGATAACAGCCAAGCCTCGGCGTCGGGAGGCAGAGCTGAGCAGGGTTGTCCTCTGGGACTGGGGCCAGGGGGCCAGCAGCACCCCAAGCTGCCCACCCCCTGGACAGGAGGTTCTCGGGGGGCCGGAGGAGTCGGGAGAGCGGCTGCAGGCAGCGCCGGGACGGCGGGGAGGGAGGGAAGATGCGTATCCAGCACATCCTGCCGCTCCCCGCCGGCACATCCATCAGCCGCCCAGCGTTTACAGCACGTCGCTGGTTACACGATCCAGACGCGCAGGTTCCTCCTGCCCCGCTCCTCTCCTGCCTTTTGTTTTCTTTTGCCTTCTGCTCCTGGAGACAGAGTACCTGATGGAAAAAGCCTGTTCTCCTGCTCCCAGTGCTGGAAACACCCTCTTCCTTCCACCTCTGCCCAGCTCAGCTCCTGGAGCGGGGCCGGCAGCGGCTCCCTGCCCTGGTGCCCCACTTGTGGCTCCCCGATGGTGGCACTGGGGCAGGACTGGAAAGGCTGGTGTGAGTGCAAGGCACGGACAGACCCTGGTCCCAGCAAGACCCTTTGGGTACTCTCTGTGAGGCAGTCCCAGCTCCTTATAGGATGGAGTGGGGCAAAGCCACAGTCTCCTCTGGGGCAGGGAGACTGCAAGGATCACCAAGGCTATCCAGGCACATATCCCATCAGCCTGCTGAGCCCAACGGGCACCTGGCCCCATGCCTTGCTCCCTCCATGACCCCTGTGCTTGCTCTCCTGCCTTCCCTAGCCTTTTGGGCTCATGGGCTCAGTGCAGAGCAGGGACGGGCAACTCAGGGTTTCCAAATAGTTCAGTTTTCCTTTCTCCTGCACCTAAGCCAGGGAGTTGGACACCAACACCTGAGTGCTCTGAAA